TCATATCAGTGGTTAACCACCCTTCCCGAATGGTAACTGTTTTAACTGGAAGAAATTGAGATCTGGTAATGAAATCAAATCTGTAGATAACTCATGCTGGCCAGAACACACTTCCAGCTTGGTTAAATGGGCAATCGCCTGTGGGAAGAAAACAAATTGACAATGAAGTGATGTGCTCTGCGAATACGCGATTTGAGTATAAAAGCATAGAGTTTAACTAGGAAAGTTATAACGCTTCGGAACACTGAAAGGCAAAATGTTTTGCAATTCGAGAATATGTAAATATATACGCAGCATTCCATCAAAGTAAGTCATTACTCTTTGTCAAGCCACACTTTTTACAATAACCAGTGACATGTTTCTGGCGCAGGGAGACAGTTGTGACACTTGTTTAGACTCGTACGTGTCCTCTTTCTGTAAACTGAAAAAATATGCAGTCTTACGTCTTATCACTTGTTCACACGTGTCATTTCTCCTTTGTCCTCGAAATGAGTGATGATTAACTCGTACGTAAAGGTGAACGCCGATGGCACAACAGAAACTTTTAAAGCTCATTCCAGTAATTAATTTTTACCGTATTAAAGTTATATGAAGCATCGTGTTTGCTGCAATGCCATGTTATCAAACTCGATTCCAAATGCAAATACCCCCACAAAGACGCTCCTGAACAATTACACACCTGTGAATGTATGTACTACTCTCACCTACAATTCCAGTTGCTTCATTGTAGTGCATTGTAGTTGAAGTAGACTTGTTTCGACACTTGTTTAATTTTAAGAACAGCAACGCCTAACCAGTTTTGTTATTTTGGTTAGAGCACTTTTCCAACTCATTCTGGCCAAGGCTACATAACTTACTCTTTGGTTCTTTCGGTAAAATCACGTAGGTAGAAATAAAATAAATCACGTTACGATCGCAACACAAACAATCGTCATCAGGTGAGACAGTTACAGCAGGAAAAACTGAAGCTGCAGCAGCTGAAGCTTCAGCAGCTGCTAAAACTGAAGCTTCAGCAGCTGAAGCTGCTAAAACTGCTGAAGCTGCTGAAGCTTCAGCAGCTGAAGCTGCTAAAACTGCTGAAGCTTCAGCAGCTGAAGCTGCTAAAACTGCTGAAGCTGCTGAAGCTTCAGCAGCTGAAGCTGCTAAAACTGCTGACGCTTCAGCAGCTGAAGCTGCTAAAACGGCTGAAGCTTCAGCAGCTGAAGCAGTTTTTTCTGCTGTAACTGTCTCACTTGATGATTGCTTGTGTTGCGATCGAAACGTTGTGATTTATTTTATTTCCACCTACGTGACTTTACCGAAAGAACCAAAGAGTATGGATTCCTGCAGTCACGAAAGCTACATAACTTGCTTGCAACAACACTCTTCCTGAAGCCTCAGTTATCTAAGTGTGACTCCTATGAGACGCGACCTAAATATGTCTTCTGTGATGCCTCCGGCTGTGGTCTTGACGCAAAAGTTAAAATATCACTGGCTGAGCCTCCATCACAGTGTGCAAAAGGTCAACAAACAATAATGTGGCGCTCAAGAGGAAAATAAACATGCCGTTTCATACATTTCACACACGCGCGCGCATAAACACGTATACAGTGGAAAATATCCACAATTTGCGCTCGTTTGTAAGGGGTACGTGTTGTTAGTGAATATCTATCATAACCTATTGGTGAGTGGAGGATGCATCATCCATACCTGTTAACCCCTTATTAGTTAGTGCCCTATCTTATTACAGACCAATTCAGGCCTTATTGGTCACCCCGTGCCCTTATAAATCTCCCAGTTCATCCCAAAACGTCTCATCAGAAGGGAGAAACACTAACAAATAGACAAACAATTTCTTGCTCGTATTGAAACGGCTGCATGCCATATGGACCCGAAAAGAAATTTCCCTGTACAAGAATACGGGTACACCATATGGATTGACATCTATGTGTTTGTGAGCATCTATCATGGCCTATTGGGGAGTGGAGGATGCATCGTCACAGCGATGCACCACTCCATTGTTCCTGTCGCAATTATCTCGCTCAACCGCCTCGAAAAGGGCGCCACAGTGGCGAGATGTTAACTACCTCGCCGGTATACAGGAGTTTGTGGGTTCGATTCCGACTCTGACGCCTGCTGTATACTCTTTGGTTCTATTTGGTAGTCACGTAGGTAAAAAATAAAACAAAAAATCACGTTTCGGCCACAACACAAGTGGCCTTCATCAGGTGAAGGGACCGTACTGTCCAGAGGACAGCGTTGGAGTGAAATGCAATGAGCCACGTGGACCAACACCACCTGACCAGTGAATTAAAACATGTACATCTGGCCCTCAAGAGGAACAGATACTCTGACCGCACCATCCGCCAAGCTGTTTCTCCCTCCATACAGAAACAACCACTTGATACTCCGATCAAAACCATCACACTACCATATATAGCAGGCGTTACTAAAAAGATCTCCAAAATTCTAAACACAAGATCCTGGTCCGGTTCAATACAGTACACAAAATCCGTGACCTGATCCCATCCGTGAAGGATGTCATTCCTGCCTTATAGTACCCCGGGGTACTATAAGGCAGGAATGCTGCACCTGTGGTGATTGCTATATCGGGGAGATGAAACGACATGTCTTTGACCGAATTCGCGAGCACAAATCAGACTTGAAACACGGCAGAACGAATTCTTCTGCCGTAGCTTATCACTGTTACAACGCTGTGGGTGATCACGATATAGTTTTCTCCGATACCAAGGTTCTCTGCAAACCCACGGGTTTTCATCAGAGATTTGTCCACGAGGAAATTCAGATTTACAAACACAATTTCAACCGAGAAGATGGTTTCAAATTAAGCAATCATTGGAAAGATGTTCTAAATCATACCAAACATTAAAATAATTTTCAATGGTACAGTATATTTATTCAAGTAGTGGTATCCTAAACTTTCTCAGCAGCTTATTTCCTCACACCAACATTTGTAACCCCCCCCCCCCCCGCGTGCCGGTCCTCTACAGCATTTTAATTCCTTTGTCAAGGCGTTTTTTGTTTCCTCCCACACAGCTTAAAGGATGCGACCTGAGCTTGGCTGTCTTCACTCCAACGCTGTCCTCTGGACAGTACGGTCCCTTCACCTGATGAAGGCCACTTGTGTTGTGGCCGAAACGTCGTGATTTTTTTGTTTTATTTTTTACCTACGTGACTTTACCGAATAGAACCAAAGAGTATGGATCCTTGCCGTCACGAAAGCTTCAAATCTAGCCTGCTGTATATTTGGAGCTTGCATGCACGCCCCATGGTCGCGTGGATTTTTCTCCAGGTCCTCTGGTTTTCCCCTACACATTTAGAATGAACATGTGTTTATAGTATTTGGTTGTTAAAAAGTTCCACATAAGCCACTTGACTGTGCTATCAATTGCGGCCAGGTTGCTTCTAAAAAATAGCTATATAGCTCAGTAGGCCTTACCTGGTGAAATACAAAATGTTTCGTAGTTTCGTGGCCAGTACCATAACCAGATTTCACGCAGCAGGATACAAACTCAAATTCGAGCTATGTAAAATCTAGAGAACAAAATCACCACAGGATATCTATAAATGGTGTATGAAATCAATACATCAGGAAACCAACCAGTACTGCAGATCAACTCAGTCCTGTGCCACACCTGTTACAACGCAAAAACTCAAAGGGCACCGTCTGAACAACACAATGACCACTACGCACGCATGGTGCAGGTTCATACCAGGTCACTTTAAAGTGGTTCGGTATGGCCTACGAGTATCTCGTGTGACGATCTGACTTTTGAGAGCCTTGGTTCAATGAGCGTCTTCTTTCGGCATGTCTGGATTGTGCGGACAAACTAAACTTCAATATCGAGGTTGTGAGCCGAGACGCAGCTGCTTCGTCGATGCGTTCGAGGTTTCCTGTGACACACTGCTTCACTGAGTCTCACCGGATGATGTGGCCCGGCGATTCACTCTCTCGTTTCCACTCGCCGTTCACTACTTGCGACTCTCTTCCTCTCGGCCTTCCTGCCCACGCCCTCGCTCCTCTCCATCGACAGATACAAAATGCCTCGTCCCGGATATAAAAAAAAAGTTTTACCTCCCCCCACAATTTACACACTTCTGATCTCCTTCGCCAACTCCACTGGCTTCCCTATCTCCGTCTGTTTAAATGTCTCACCCGAGTTTAGAAATCCCTCCATGTATGTTGAACTTTTTTCGCACCGTACGTAGGCAACCGTGCTAATGAGGTGCAAGTTTTAGATTTACTGCAATACACCCGTGCTTGGACGGGCAAAAGGCTAGTTTACTTATAACTTTCAAAGTCAAACATTTATTCTGACACACCATACATGATAATTGTTTTTTTACCCTTTTATCTGGCAACAAAACTGACACCTTTTTTTTACAAGGAGTCATGTTTACATTGACCACAATGTAAACATTCCGACTGCAGGTATTGTGGTCAATGTAAACATGACTCCTTGTAAAAAAAGGTGTCAGTTTTGTTGCCAGATAAAAGGGTAAAAAACCAATTATCATATTTTGTTACTGGCACACGAGGTTTCCAATGGTGTAAATGCTTACCCCGAGCTCTTATACTCTGATGGTGCATTGTCTTTGAGTTGTGCGCCTTTTGGCGTCTTCTGGTCCAACACCATGTGAGACGAGGCTCTAAAGAAAGCTGTCTCGGGTGTGGACCAATCAATTTCAAGGACAGTGCCAATACATTATCAGAGTTGTTGTTTTTTGTTTGCGTTCCAACCGCAGGTATTGTGGTCAATGCAAACATGACTCCTTGTAAAAAAAAAGGTGTCAGTTTTGTTGCCAGATAAAAGGGTAAAAAAACAATTATCATATTTTGTTACTGGCAAATGAGGTTTCCAATGGTGTACACACCATACATGTTTGAAACTAAAATAATGTATTTGCATGAATTAATCGCTGCATTATTACATGTCTAGCATATACACTAAATCCCTTTACACAAAAACATTCATCTATGGAGAACAAGATATGGTCAATTGGTGAAGATGTAATTTAATTAAATGGACAGGCATCGTTAAAATACCTACAAGCTGCAGGAAACCCCTTTGAATACAATGTGTTCACTATGCCTTACAAACTGAAGAGTAATGGGAAACGCGTGCACTAAACTCCAAGTGTAATTAAATCATCAACAAACGCTCACCGTTGTGTTTTACTATACACTAGCGGCCCAGCATATTCTTTGGACCTGCTTATCCCTACAGCCAGCCAGCAAAACTTTTTTTCTACTATAGTACGACCGTAGCATATTTAGCACAAATGGTGGAGCTCGATGAGCACGGACGAATCCGGTTTAACGCTGTGGGATGCAGGCAACGTTATCACGCAGCGAGGAATCCAGACACGAATCCAGCCAGCAAACTTTCTAATATAGTATGACACCTATCTTTTAATACTTTACAGCCAGCCATGTGAAAATTGTATATAACACCAGCGCATTGCAACAAATTGACAAAAAATTTTTACAAAGAAAAGCACAACCTTGGTTCCTTATGTACACGAGACTATTGCCACTCTTTTAATTTTATAAATGCTTGCTACGAGCATCGCACACCGCGCATTATAATCTTCCAACAGCATGTCATGCGATAATCGTATATTGAAATTCATGAGAAGAAACTGAAGCGAGTAATTCATTTACGTTGCCACGTTCTGCTCTCCGAAACAAAGGTCACTTTTGGCTTCTTACGAGGACACTTTGTGCATCGCCACTGTAATGTCACTGTGCTTCATGATCAAGATGTTCCTGCGAAAAGAAAAAAAATACATTGTTTCAAATGCAGTGCAGCATGTGATTTCCCACAGCATAGCTAGGGGCATACAATACAAGCCCCCGGGTGAAGTATCGACTGCCGAGCCAGTGCCCCTTTAGTGCCACTCACCTTTTTGCAATAGTGAGCCAAAAAGCCACTCTTGCAATGTTGACGATAGAAGTGGCTAAGAATTAGTATCAAAGCCTATGACGAAATGGAAACTAACGACTTCGACATCAATTGCAACAGTTCACCATTATCAGTGTCAAAGCCAAAACCCCTAATGTGGACATCATAACTAGAAAATAATAATAAAGCTGCTTACTTTAATATGGATTAATCGGAGCTTTATTTTAAAGAGATAATACATCTCAATCAGCTACTAACCTGGTTATATGACACGCATTAAAATAAACAATTGTCGCAGCATACCTTGATCTCCACATTTTTGTTTACATGTAACAATATATCATTTCAACTTGTGATGCGTACAATATTCGTTCACCCCACTTTCTCAATTGGTAACAAAATGACGTACATAAAACGACGCAATGGAATATACCTAAGACTTGTCATAAAATATTGTATATTTATATCATATGCACTAGAATATGTTATGCACTGATAATTGTTTTTTTACCCTTTTATCTGGCAACAAAACTGACACCTTTTTTTTACAAGGAGTCATGTTTACATTGACCACAATACCTGCGGTCGGAACGCAAACAAAAAACAACAACTCTGATAATGTATGCACTGTCCTTGAAATTGATTGGTCCACACCCGAGACAGCTTTCTTTAGAGCCTCGTCTCACATGGTGTTGGACCAGAAGACGCCAAAAGGCGCACAACTCAAAGACAATGCACAATCAGAGTTCTCAGTAACAAGACAATGCACAATCAGAGTTCTCATACTCTGATTGTGCATTGTCTGCGAGTTGTGTGCCTTTTGGCGTCTTCTTGTCCAACGCCATGTGAGACGAGGCTCTAAAGAAAGCTGTCTCGGGTGTGGACCAATCAATTTCAAGGAGTGCCAATATATTATCAGAGTTGTTTTGTTGTTTGCGTTCCGACCGCAGGTATTGTGGTCAATGTAAACATGACTCCTTGTAAAAAAGGTGTCAGTTTTGTTGCCAGATAAAAGGGTAAAAAAAACAATTATCATATTTTGTTACTGGCAAATGAGGTTTCCAATGATGTTATGCACTGTAAGCCAAACGTGTTTTATGGTACAATATGTTCTTGGTGAGTAACAGGAGGGATAATAGGGGATGGGAGATGCCTGGTTAAGATTGGGGGATGCAATTTTCTGTACCAACTGATGGAAAATACTGTATTATGATACAGTACAAGTTAAAGGATACAGTAGACCAACACAGAATACAGTATTTCGTGTTTCGGTTCATAGAGTAAAACGCACTCAGCACAGACACTGATGCATTTAATACTTAATCACATGTATAAAGGGTTTTTGTTAACTAGCATTTTATTAGCTTTGTGGTTATCCAGAATTTTCAGCTTACCTGAGCAGGGCTCCGCTTATTAGGTCAGCTATCTGGGTTTTTATGGTATATACATTAGCCTCTATTCTAACCCTTGTCTCAAGACTACTCAAAATTACTGACTATATTTTGATGAGCAATACAAGTTTATACGGCATTTTTTTACATCTGATCCATCATCATAGAGCCAAGAGTTATGATAGTAAAAAAAAACATTCAAGACTTTAATTTGAAAAGGACACCGTTTGTAGAGTGGGTTGGCAGGTTTGTCAATTACCATAATAATATAGAACTATGTATGACTTTTATGAGACAAAAGGTTGCAGAAAATCGTTTAACAAAGGTGCGTAAATAACACGTAAAACATAAATGAGTGGCCATTAGACAAAACTGTGCAAAAGCAAACTTTCTAATAAAACATCTAATGTTAAATGTGATTAGTCAATACAATACTTGGACTTCCAATTGTGCTTTAAGCGTTTTAAGTAAATAGCAATAATACTCTTATAATACATGGCTGTTATCAGTAATCCACTATGCGCTGTAAAGTGCAGTGCTGACCCATTGTCCGACTCCAGACAAACCACGGGTACATCCATGGGGTCGGGTGACAGCTGAGTGGCCTGAGCCGCCAACACAGACACCACGCCAGCGTGCTTCTCTGTGAGGGTGCCTCGACCTGCAGGAATGCACAAGAGACAAAGATTCCCCACATAGCCTTTAATAGACTGTTGGGGCAAGTGCTGTTAGCCAGCACCAATGAGGGCCGGCACGGCACACGAGGGTGTAGGTGGCCAACACTACGCCCGGCCGCCTTTGTTTCCCCAGTGGCACCAGGTACTCATTATAGGCTGAGTCGACCCAGGGGAGGCCCCGGACCAGTTCAGATAATAATCACTGGTGTTGGCCGTGAGCAGGATTCGAAGCCGGGTTGCCAAGTTCGTAGCACGGCGCGCTAACCACGGCACTGCCGCACCGCGCACACACACAGCACCGTCACAGTAATGCGCAGGAAAACAAGAGTGACATCACATATCAGGACCAGCAACTCGCATTCGAAAACTCGCGTCATGAATGCATTTTTTCTACACTTGGGCATTTCCACCAAGTTAGGCATCACATTCAAACCATTTCTAATATATCTGAAACAATTTTATGGATATAAATTTGACCATAAACGAGAAAATATTTTTTATCTGTGTGTTATGAAACTGCATGCACAACCACCATCCAAGCATGAGTGAAATGATTAGTTTGCGTACATCCAAAACCACTGTATCTTATGAGTATTTATCCCGCATCAAGAAATACACATTCATGTAATCTAAATTAATTCTAGATTTGAAGCTTTCATGACTGCAAGGATTCATACTCTTTGTTTTTTTCGGTAAAGTCACGTAGGTAAAATAAAATAAATGAAAACAACTAAATTAAATCACGACGTTTCGGAGGCAACACAAGCTTCCGCCTTCAGGTGGAAATGGTCACAGTATCCTCCCGGATACTACCAAAGATTTGTCCATGAAGCCATCCAGATATACAAACACAGACACAACTTCAACCAAGAGGATGGTTTTAAATTGTGCAATCATTGGAAAGATGTTATCAACCAAGTCAAACTTTAGCTGCCTTATAATTGTACAGCCATTTCCATTTCTTCCAGTTGGCTGCGCTCGATCACCGCTCGCTATCACCGCTCGCTATCGCCTCTCCGTCCCACTCACCCCCCTGCAGCATAACAAAAGGCGGCTTAACTTAGCACCCCCCCCGCCACAGCCCTTCCTGACTCCTCCCCCCACCCCCTTAACCTGTATATAATCTCGGGTATCTTAGAGCTCTCTTCACTTGATACAGCAATTTTGCTGTGACGGTTTCCACCTGAAGACGTAAGCTTGTGTTGCTTCCGAAACGTCGTGATTTTATTTAGTTGTTTTCATTTATTTTATTTTAATCTAAATTAGTCATTGTTGGTTGACTTACAATGCCCAAGTTGAAAGGTCCCATTATGATTATATTAATGATTCTCCTGAAATGCATGTGTACAATTGTGAAACTGCCCACATGCCAACCAAACGACCACATTTTAGGCACGGTAGTGCATGCCTGTAAACCAGAACTTTGGAGAACAGGTTGATCGTAGTGATCCTACTTCCAGCTTAACAGCTACAAGGTATCCTACTCAATAACGTAACTTTCTCATAGACGTATGTGGCTATTTTAGTGGTACCCATAATAAATAATCAATCGGCCAAACTTGTCATTGCACAACCCTCTCTAAAGTCAATTGTGAAACTCAATGAGGAATTTCTCAAAACCCATTTTTCTCAATTATTTAAAGTCTCCTAGTCTATTCTGCTCTTACTGCCCTTAAATTACCCGACCTATTGTTAAAACGAGCACATTGTACAAATGAGTGTAAGATCATGGTCACCAGCATTATTCATGTTAAGCGGCGACTATCATTTACACATGAATTGTATTGTGCAAGTGTCTGTGCAACTCATTATCCAGTGTTGCAAGTTTCTGGTTGACTTACTTCCTAGATTTAGGCCATGGCTGTCTGTACACAGCACACCCATCACACCGGGACTCTTCATCCTGCCAAAGAACAAACACCACACACATTCGACCACAGTGAGGGAAAAAAGTATTTGATCCTCTGCTGATTTTGTACGTTTACCCACTGACAAATAAATGATCAGTATATTATTTTAATGTTAGGTTTATTTGAACGGTGAGAGACATAATAACAAAATCCAGAAAAACGCATGTCAAAAGTTAGAAATTGATGTGCATTTTAATGAGGGAAATAAGTATTTGACCCCCTCTCAATCAGAAAGATTTCTGGCTCCCAGGTGTCTTTTATACAGGTAACGAGCTGCGATTAGGAGCACACTCTTAATCTCAGATTGTTACCTGTATAAAAGACACCTGTCCACAGAAGCAACGAATGAATCAGATTCCAAACTCGCCACCATGGCCAAAACCAAAGAGCTCTCCAAGGATGTCAGGGGCAAGATTGTAGACCTACACAAGGCTGGAATGGGCTACAAGACCATTGACAAGCAGCTTGGTGAGAAGGTGACAACAGTTGGTGCGATTATTCGCAAATGGAAGAAACACAAAATAACTGTCAATCTCCCTCGGCCTGGGGCTCCATGCAAGATCTCACCTCGTGGAGTTGCAATGATCATGAGAACGGTGAGGAATCAGCCCAGAACTACACGGGAGGATCTTGTCAATTATCTCAAGGCAGCTGGGACCATAGTCACCAAGAAAACAATTGGTAACACACTACGCCGTGAAGGACTGAAATCCTGCAGCGCCCGCAAGGTCCCCCTGCTCAAGAAAGCACATACACATGCCCGTCTGAAGTTTGCCAATGAACATCTGAATGATTCAGAGGACAACTGGGTGAAAGTGTTGTGGTCAGATGAGACCAAAATGGAGTTCTTTGGCATCAACTCAACTCGCCGTGTTTGGAGGAGGAATGCTGCCTATGACCCCAAGAACACCATCCCCACCGTCAAACATGGAGGTGGAAACATTATGCTATGGGGGTGTTTTTCTACTAAGGGGTCAGGACAACTTCACCGCATCAAAGGGACGATGGACGGGGCCATGTATCGGCAAATCTTGGGTGAGAACCTCCTTCCCTCAGCCAGGGCATTGAAAATGGGTCGTGGATGGGTATTCCAGCATGACAATGACCCAAAACACACGGCCAAGGCAACAAAGGTGTGACTCCAGAAGAAGCACATTAAGGTCCTGGAGTGGCCTAGCCAGTCTCCAGACTTTAATCCCATAGAAAATCTGTGGAGGGAGCTGAAGGTTCGAGTTGCCAAACGTCAGCCTCGAAACCTTAATGACTTGGAGAAGATCTGCAAAGAGGAGTGGGACAAAATCCCTCCTGAGATGTGTTCAAACCTGGTGGCCAACTACAAGAAACGTCTGACCTCTGTGTTTTGCAATAAGGGTTTTGCCACCAAGTACTAAGTCATGTTTTGCAGAGGGGTCAAATACTTATTTCCCTCATTAAAATGCCAATCAATTTATAACATTTTTGACATGCGTTTTTCTGGATTTTTTTTGTTATTGTCTCTCACTGTTCAAATAAACTTACCATTACAATTATAGACTGATAATTTGTCAGTGGGCAAACGTAGAAAATCAGCAGGGGATCAAATACTTGTTTTCCCTCACTGTATATCCACATCCATTCAGTTTGAGACATTTCTGCCATCTTCAAATGCCAATACCAGCCATGATGTTAGCTCAATGCTGGATGAAGGCAATCCCAAAACCAGTCGCCATACCTTGCCACGACTTACTCCCAAGTTCTGTAATGTTACGATCCGCCGAGCACCAGCACACAACGTTGATCTATCTCATCGCTCCATCTCCCCAGTGGACGCCTCTCGGGCGCGTCCCCCTCGTTCTGCATTAACCACACGGCACTTGTGTGGCGAACATGCAAACAAACATGCCCTGGTAAATGTGGGCATTGTCTTTGAAACTGGCCTACACCAGAGGACAGCCTTCTTCACGGGCTTGTCTCACCGGTGAACGCCAAAAGGAAAGCAGTACACAAAGATCCCCCGTGTAGCCTTAACAGACTGTAGGGGCAAGTGCTGTTAGCGAGCACCTATGAAGGCCGGAACGGTACACGAAGGGGTGGGTGGTCAGCACCACGCCCGACCGCCTTTGTCTCCCTAGTGATGTTTACACACCGCACCAGGTACTCATTTGAGGCTGAGTCGACCTAGGGGAGGGCCCAGGACCGGTTCAGAGAATCTTCAATGGTGTTTGGCCGTGAGCGGGAATCGAACCCGGGTCGCCGGGTTCATAGCGCAGCGCGCTAACCGCTCCACCACCGCTCCCCACCAGACAATGCCACGCGCATCAGAGCATTTATAGGCTCGGGGTGAGCAACTACAACATCGGGACAGATTTTTGCTCGTTTCAAAGCTATTTAAAGGTGCTCTCGGGACGATGTCACCAGCCTTCGTCGAGTGTATTCCGACTCACGTGTCGTCCAAGTGCTTCTCCAAGACAGACTCCATCGTCTTAACGAGCCGAGTGTATAGTAAATCGCGACTGTTGTTGCGGATAAATAATTGTGATCAAAGATAGGGAAGCAATCGACTTGCCGCGCGCTCACACAGCAATATGCAATCACGTGAGAATCGATTCCACTGCATCGATTTTCACATGTAGATTCTTAGGATCGTGAGGCCGAAGGCTAGGAGGCGTTTCCGGCCCCGGGGGAATCGAGTCGGCTCAAGAGCAATGAAATGGAATCGAGATTTTTAAATCGGCACCAATCGATCCGGGAAGCAAGGTAATCGGCAACTCGCTATGGAGGCCCATTGGGGTAGCGTGGCGAGTGAAATCGCGTTTTAAAAATACACGTGTGAATGAGACCTGATAAAGACTTCACACCTGATGACGATCGATTGTATATTGCGATCGAAACGTCGTGTGTTCAGATGATTTAGATGGTTTTGCTGCCATGCATTTCCACACGATGAGCCACTTCGCTGAGCTATAATTTGTGGCCAGGTCGCCGCGTCTGAAAAATAAGCTAATAGCTCAGTGAGCTTTACCTGATGAGATTAAAAACAATTGTTTAGTTTTACTTGCATATTTTTTAAAGGTGATTTGTTTACTTTTCCTATAAATTTCACTCCTATCGCGTTGTATTATTTGTTGCTGTAACGTTCTGACCTGCTCCCTACTGGACAAGAGCTTTATAGCTCATCGGATTCCTCCAGTATAAATAAAGATTCAGATTTCTGAGATATGCTCTGTCAAATCGTGATGTTATCTTCACATGGCGACGATCACCGCATTCAGTTGACCTACAGCTGGCCGTGCCGGCCACGTGGCACGGGCCCTGCCACGTGACAAGGGCCCGTGCCACGTGACAAGGGCCCGTGCCACGTGACAAGGGCCCAGCCACGTGACGAGAAGCAAACGGACCTCGGCTCTGCCGTTTATTTGCTACAGTTCGTATTTTGGCAGCTATAAACTATAATATAAACGTTTACATTTTGAATTTGAAGGTTTTGCGGATTTGAGATTATTTTAGTCAATTTTAAGCAACGTTTAAGATATGTTCTTTAGGAATTGTCTTTGAAAGTACCTGTACAGTTATTTAATGTTTGAAATCTTTATTGAGTATTATTATTTCGTGTTCAAATCGTAATGCAGTACTGTATATACATATAATTTATGGATTTTTTTAAATCAAATATAGGATTCAAATGTAGTGTTATGCTTTGAATTTGAACTGTTAGAATGTTTTGATATTCTCAAAAGTGTTTTTATATAAATGCGTTAAAGTTAATCCGATTGTTTTATTTTCAGCTAACTTTTAAGTTACGAGTACACTCCGAAATTATTTTGGAAATTAATTTCCAAATTCAAAACACTCCCAATGTGTCCACTGTCAAATTTGGCCAAAGCCAGAGCAATTACAATTCTTGCAATTGTATGCATCGTTAACACGGGTACGTTACACGTATACACAACGTAATGCTTAAATACACAACGCATGAAGTAGGTCGCATAAAGCAAAGTATTCCATTAGCACCTACAGTATTTCAATCCGAGTCATTTATGGGAGTTTTTAAACTTTGTTTATGTAGCTGGCCACTGAACCTGTTATCGTATTGAACAGTGTTAAAATCCTGATACAGGTCACATCACATCCATCCAGAGTTGCTAGAATAAACACCAATTTGTGTGTCAACTGTGCTCTTCCTGTAGAAAACCCATCGTGTGGAATTTTCATCACATGCTCAGTGCCACCAACATGGATGAGACTTTCCATGTTTGTATTATCAGGGAGACACTGAAAATAGACATTTGACTAGTGTGGGTTGCATAGACTTGAGAACATAACAGTGGAATACAACCAATTATATTTTGATTTAAAGCTTTCGTGACTGCAGTGATTCATATTCTTGGTTCTTTCGGTAAAGTCACGTTGAAGGGAAACAATAAAATAAGGGTTTTATCTATATTTTATTGTTTCCCTTTAACGTGACTTTACCGAAAGAACCAAGAATACAACCAATTATGTAAAAAATTGATTCTTACAGCTCATCGGATTCCTCCAGTGTACATATTCTGATTCTGATGTTGCTTCACGGCCCTCACCTGCCAACCATGTGGCCCTGCAGCCTGAACCAGGGCCGTAATGTCCAATAAGCAGTTGCCAACTGTGGGCCCACAAAAACTAAAGGGCCTACGAAAAAAAACGTGACCATGTTTGTATGATAAAACATGTAACCAAGATATATTCTTGAATAAATATATTTATATAGCAAGGATAGGCACAGTGTATATAGAAAGAGGCAGTCATGTCAATTATGTTTTCATAAGGTGAGAGAAATTAACGCAGGAGATGGGCTTTTCGCGATTTTTTTTCCGTGCAAAATTAGCGACATCTTCAAATGGTGTTTTTCTGACAATCTCATCCTTAATAGAGACTAGCGCAAAGGGATACAAGCGTCTGATGGTGATCGGAGATAAGCGAGTTACAGCGGCGATAGTAACATGGGCAGTAGCACTAACTGTTGTAAGTTACCACTGATGGCCTACAAGAACCTTAATCCGACCCTGGCCTGGACACATCCTCGTTTATTGTGAATGGTGGTCACCCACACAAGCACGAGTGGACCTCGGCTCAAACCTGCTTAGCTTCAGAGATATGATGGCATTTGGGTACATTCCAGGCCATTTGGTTATTGACAATGACTAAACACGATATATTTGACTGTACTTAGAGGAAGGTAGTACAGTAGAACTTACAAAATACACGTTTGTTTGGGTTAGATCGCGTAAATATATGAACGTTTCGTTAAAACCACCACCAACTGACAGCCAGATTTGGCTGTCGCCTGATGAAGCAGTCGCCTTATGATGCTAGTTGTAATTACTGGCGAAACGTCGTACTCAATGTGGCTTCGCTCTCCAACACACTGGTGTGCTGTACTAGTGTAGTGGTTCACACGACAGAGGCAGATACTTTTTGGAGGCAACACGTTTATTACAATACGCCCTAACCACGATGGGGTATAGCTGCCCCTTCACCAGCTACCCTAGGGAGGTATCTCCTCCGGGCTAGCTAACCCTCGCTCACACGGGGTGGCTATCTCGGACCGGACCCTGGCTCGGGTCCAGGTCCGGTAGTCGGGCAGGTCTTCTTCAGGCGACGGCTTCGGTCTTCAGTCTTGTCACAGCAGCAGCCCCTGGACCCGTTCAGGGGTCTGGCTCATGTTGCCAGTCCCGGGGCTTCCTCCGCCCCTGGCCACGCCTCCCTTCTCGAGCCTTCGAGAGGGACCTGGTCCTGGTCCCGTGGCCCCCCCGGCCCCCTCCTTGCCGTCACCTCTGGTCACCAGGCCTCCGGGTTCACCTGGAGTGCCATGGCCCCCGGCGAACCCCTGAGCTGTCCCTGGCAGGTTTAACGACACATTTACGTTATCAAACCCAAAAAAAACCCTGTATTATGGATGATATCTGTCGCGAAAGCCTACGTGTTAAACTGACAGTATAACTTCTTGAATCTGCAGTGACGTGGGGACACACGTCACAGAAGCTATATTGCCGAAGGGTTGCCCCGCAAATTCCCCTCCACTTACCCGCGGGCAAAATCATAGATAATACGATTAAATTGCTGATGAACTCCACTCATCGTCGAAACATTTGTGGACAAAGTACGATAGGAAAATCTGCAGATAATAGGAAATGTAGGGCCCCGGATAATGAGTGCAGGCCCTATAACTCCTGTCGACAATAGGAGTTGCGGATAACAGGGTTGCGGATAAAAGGAGTTGTACTGTTTTTTAAATTGCTTCCCATAAAGCATTGCAAACTCATTCCATACATTCTTCATTTGTATCCTCCCTTACCCAAGGTTTTGCTCAAGCATACGTCACAACTATAACTTTCCAAAAGCCATTCGTCGTGCCTGCGATTGTTTCAGTGAACATCTCATCCATGTCAACCCAACACATCATGGCATTTGTAAACTATAGACAAGCAGTCAACTTTTTCAAAGTTACGCTTTGGTTGAATCCACCAAATATGGAGGGAAGCTATGAAATGTACGGTGCATTTAAAATGACACATTTACCTATTAAGTTGGCAGTGTCAACTAAAGAGACATACATCATTACCTGGTATATATTTGAAAACGCAATCTATCTACATTGCGATGATGTGTCTTTGATCTATAGCATTGTTAACGGCGATATATTATTAGAAAATATCAATGCCCTGGACATAACTGGTTTCACATTTACCATAGAAACACGTGAGTACATTTGTCTATGACTTTTTATTCTTTATATTCTTGTTCTAACATAGCTTTATGCGTGTCTGTGGCTGCAGACAATGAATCTAAAATTATCGTTTTTGTCTCTGAATAGAGGTTTATTTGCTTAATGAGCCCATATTCAACAACATTTCTACTTAATATATTAATGGGTCCAATCATACAGTTGATGGCTCTTGGTGTGTTTCGTGGTTTTCATTTTAGAGATAAACGACTAAGCTCGGTTTTTATTTAATCACGTTTCCTGACCCAGGGTACACTCCAACAATAAACAGGGTCTGGCTGCTTAAAATATGTTAATTATTGCAAACAATGATTTTAACCGTCTTCAACTGACGTCCATTCAATGAAGGCCATTTAAAAGGACGTACTACTTTTATAATAATCACCAGAGCTTGACACGTGTGTTAGGTGTGGGACTGATATGGCAACACTGAGTTATCCCTCATATCCGTGGGTTTTTTGTCTAGTCCAGTTTCCTCCCACATGCCAAATCCTCATTTATGATATTGGCGAATCATTCCAATGCAGGATCTTCCAGAGAAGTGTTGAGTCTCCGTGAGGCTAATTTGCTTGGTAAATCATTGGCATGACTGTTGAATGGTACATTGCACGAAACTGTTTACCATGTATTTTTGGTATGTTTTTTTCTGGAGATAATATTACTAATGGCAGTGTTGAAATTGTCAGTTCATGCTGAACCTGAATCATAGCCTTATACATTTTTCAGTACTCATGAAGTTCTCATTACATTTTGTTGTAAAGAGTGTCGTCTATAAATCATTGTTTTCTGTCTCTTTTTTTCATCATCAGATTTTAATTATGGCTTTGATATATTGCTCACCACCCTACCACCTAAGAAAAGTCACCTGAAATATGAGAAAGCCATTTCAGAAAGCCTTAAGGATTTCTCAATAAATTTTTGGATTAATTATTCTGAGAAGACATCCGCCATGCGCATTCTATGCTACAACACAAAAGAAGGAGATGAGCTACTGTCAGTTGTACTCCTCCGACGGGGAATTGAGTTCAGTGTTATGGGGTATGTTATAAACTTGTTATCCATTAGTTGTCATTTGGTTTAGCAGTATTATGCCAACAAGAAAAAGTTAAACATTCTAAAATAAAATATTGGTTATTAGTTCACCATTGTTTTTTTTTTAACAAGTGTACCTAAATGCTGCCATCTCCTCTGAGTTATGGCAAGGAAATGATGGTGCTGAGTGTCACCACCTCGTATGTGCGAAGGTTTCTCTGGGTACTCTGGTTTCCTCCCACATCCAAAACACTTGCTAACGGATACTGACCTAATGCAGGACCCTCGTGTATAGTCTGCTCAAAGTGTCTCTCTGCTCAAACACGCAAAAGGAAAATATTTATCTTCATCAATAACCCTGCACCCATGGTGGAAATTCTATATTTCCATGGCAGGGGCCATTTAGTGCTTAGTACAGTTTCTGCTGGCACTCCACAACGTGGTAATCATTGTATCGATCTAAAGCAGGATTTGAACTGGCTACCTTCCAACTGTGAGCAAAACCCTAGCACAACCCGGCCTATGCAACAATATTAACCCGTATGTGTGCGTGTATTTTATTCAGAAAAGTGTTCTACTCCAACAACTGGCTCGATTTACCATTAACCACCTGGCATTCGGTGATGCTGACTGTGAGTAGCACAACGAGTTTGTGTGAAATATACATCAATGGATGGTTCATGGACTCTGTAAGCACCGATGCCCATGGCCCAGTCACCATCCCGCCGAAGGGAACCGTTATTATTTGGCAGCTGCCAGAGGAGTTTAACGGTGAGGCCTGTGGTTGAGTAGACTGGTGCTTCCAATAGTTTTGGGTGACATTGAATGTTGATAGTTTTTTTTTAAGTTTCACAAATCGTATGTGATCGGCCAATTCTTTCCTCCAGAGGACTGCTTTACAGATCTGTGCCACAACCACGGAAATTAAAAACGTCGTGGTGCACTATTTTCTGGATTTGAGTGTTATATCCTCAATATTTATGGACTTTTATCCAGGCAATAGGGGAGCAGTGGCACAGTGATTGTTGCAGTCTGCTTTAATCCTGACGACCTGAGTATACCTGATCGTCTGAGTTCGATACACATTATCGACTAATATCATTAATGAGTGATTTATGAACCGGTCATGAGCCTCCCTACAAACTATACTCATCATTGAAGTATGGCCTAGAAACCTCCATGGCTGACGTGGCATGGGGAGACCTTCAACCAAAAGTTCAATGACAAATGGCTGTAAATATTTTTTTTTGTTAATTCCATCCCAGATTTTACAGTTTCCCTCAACAGACATAAATATTCACGATTGATTTGGCCAAACATCCCGAGCAGGACTGTCCTGAAAGTGGGTCAATAGACCCTGTTTACACGGGTGTCCCTGGGTAAACAAATAGTTTAATGTGTTAAAGAAACTGATGCATAAATCGGTAGCGAATCAACATTATAACCATACATTATTCATTGCACGTAATACCGCCGTTTATATTTTTCCTGTGACCCATCTATCAGTGCAGACACTTTGTATCCTTAAGTAAGCAATTCGTGATTCCTTGTATTTTTCTCTCTCAGGACAGTCTTTTCTTAAACGTTGGTCACAGCATTTGCGTACAGTGACCTACTCTGGCAGATCATATCACAGTCTTTGTATTGTCCATTTAACCAGCAGCAGCACAGTACTGTATTGCTGATCAGAGAAAGGAAGCATATTAACGAAACCCTTCAAACGACTGCCTGAAGTGGCAAATGTGCTAACATGCATTCTATAATCTTGATTTGAAGCTTTCGCGACTGCAGGAATCCATGCTCTCTGGTCACGTAGGTAGAAAAAAAATATAAAATTAAAGAAAACAAGACGGACGCTTGTGTTGCGACCGAAACGTCGTGTTTTTTATATATATATTTTTACATTTTTTTATGTCTACTTGACTTTACCGAAAGAACCAGAGAGTATGTATTCTATAAATAAGAATGGTTTGTGATGTTTTACATATAATGCATGATGTGTGTGTGTGCGCGCATGTGTTCCTTTTAATCGTATATTATGGTGTTATTATTGCAGGACGATTTAATGATGAAATTAAGAATGTCGGTCGCCTCAGAAACGTCAACATTTGGAATTACATCCTTCCGTATTCATATATAGCAAATTTGTGCCATGGGAAGGTGAGATCGCGAGTTTTGGGAAACGTCTTTCAGTGGACAGATAAGCACAGCAAGACAACAGACGTAGTGATACTCGATAACAAGCTAGGTAAGAAAGTACGAGGCACATAACGGCGTTTCCGATGGTAATGATTATTACATTAAGGCGCCTGAAGCACACAGAATGGTATAAATCTGGGCTCGCAAATATAAACACCTTAAAAATATATATGCTACAGTATGTACAATGATGTCACTATAGCATGTGTCAATATAAAAGGGCATACACGGATGATTCACACATTTTCAAAAGGTAAGTGTACACTCGCAGGGAGGTTAGACGTGAATTGATTTAAAAATATAATATTACAAAATCAGGAATACTTAATGTGCATTGCCATCCAAGTCCGATTGTTAATTTGTAAGACCGAACATTTTTCGGCAGTGGGTGTATCATGCGCAGTATTTTGAAGGTCGAAAATTCTAATCGAGCCCGCCTGGCTTAACAAAATAAATTGTACTGTGGGAAGTAGTTCTTTGACCTGCCATAGGAATATGGGGTTTCCAACACTAGCTCAAGCCTACCAATGGAAATGACCACCCAATGATGATTTAAGTGTGAAAAGTTCAACACTTGGCCCATACGCTTTATTATAAATCAAGTCACCAGCGCCAAGGCAAAATCAATTCACACGAAGGGCTTTGGCACGTGCTGTTACACAATAGGGACGGCGTTAAATGCACAGACACAAACAGCAGGAGCTCGGACAAAAGGAGAGGTAGTTGGGAAGGCGCATCCCCCAGGGTATGAGAAGTGATGAAAGGCCGGAAGGGAAAGGCAGCATCTTTGTAATGGAGGAAGTAGGAGTGAGAGATGTTTAGCAGTTGATTCATGTCCAGTAATTGATTAAAAAACGTTATGTGATTCACAGTAAGGCTGTGTAGGATATTGCAAATGACAGATAAATTGTCAAGTTCAAGGAAACCGAGGGCCCTTGTAAAGATAGCTTAAAAGACGCTACGAATATTAAAAGCGTTCATTCAAGCTCTGTCGCCCCGACAGTTATGTTCTTTCACCTGAAGAAGGCTACTTGTGTTGTGGCCGAAACGTCGTGAGAATGTTATAGTTTTATTTTATTATTTTATTCTCATTCTACGTGACTACTGAAAGAATCAAAGAAGATGAATCCTTGCAGTCACGAAAGCTTTAAATCTAAATTCATAGTTAAAACTGCTTCAGAATAACTCTAGCATCAGTATTTCTAACATGTACATTTCCATATAAATGTATTGTTAGCATAGTTGGCTATGTACACTGCGAAAGAAAGAAGTTCAATATTCACAAACACTGTATTTCAGAACATGACTGAATAGGAAGGGGGTAAAATGTTTTTTTTATATATTTCAAATTTTTAGCAAGATGAAAACCTGCTGACATGCATTAACCCTTTTGTAACAGAGACCTTGGCCCATTTGTAAAATTTCACATTAATTTTTATAATCCATTTACTGGGCATGATTCAAACGTGGAATTTTGAACATCATTGTTCAACCTAGTGGCCTACCCTCATGAATTATGAAATAAACGTGTGAATAGAATTTTAGTTTGTAGAAAAATGCAAACTGGTAGAATGTGTGCGTTATATAGATGATGAATGAATTATTGACGTTACAATTGTCTGAATTTTTTTTTGCAGATTCCTATGAATACGTTACTGCTCTGTCAACCAGCAATAACTTACACTTGTGTGCGAATGATAATGTTTTACTCTGGAAAAAATCGCGGTGTGATGTAAACGCCACAGAGTGGGAATTCACTAAATCTTTTAGAATGCGGAATATACAAAAAGACAAGTGCCTAACGGTAGTCAATACAGAACAACACTCACTTATGTCAATATTTTTGTTCACTCAGGAAAGCCTTACGATGTCTCAAGACAGTTGTTTAGGATAGTTGTAATTTTGAATATTTTATTAATTCCACATGTATGAGTGGATCTTTATACAGATGGCTGAGTAACTTACTTTCTGTGTTCCTGCTGGCTGCCTCATAGGCCTACTGGTGGCAGGCTCCTACACAAGATGACTGTACGAACTTCGGTGTCTGCCCTCAATACGCTGATCAATTAAGGGTAAGGGCTTATTTAAATCAGCCAGGTAACTCACGATGCACACCGGTAGGGCAATGTCCACGAATCCCCGACTGTCCGCTCGGCTTGCTCTCCTATATCTTTTCCCCCAACCTTCTAGAGCCCCCTCGAACTTTCTACCTGCCCCCAACCTTGAAGCCAATCTTCTTCATTGCCCCCTGACTAACGCTCCTCGATGGTTTCCTCATTCACCTGGCTGCAAACTCGAGTCCCGATCCTCCTTCTGGGTCCGTGCCGTCACCGTCAGAGACTCTCACCCAGATCTGGAAGAACGCTGGCGAACAAAGTGGGACAACGCTGACGTCCAGAATTAACCCCTCATTCGAGACCCAGACATTGCACGCACCTCCTGCCTTTGACTTTCCTCGAAGACATCGGTGTAACCGTCAACCGCATGAGAACATCAACTGGCCGATGCGCACATCTCCCTCATGATTGGAAATCTAAAGACAAGCCACAGTGCGACTGTTACTATGCAACCCGAACTGTAGATCATATCGTAATCCACTGCAGTCTGCGCTCCTTTATGGCTAGCAGACCTCGACATTGCCATTTATCTTCCGAACTTGTTGTCGTCGCCATACGCAATAACGGAGTAGAATGTACCTCATCTTGGCGGGCTGTCGTTCTACAATTTCCCTTAGCCAATCAGCTTGAATCGCCCTGTGCTCTACCAATGAGCGCTGGCGATCAGCCACTGGCACGAGCAGGAGGGCTTTGCTCAGCTTGGCAGAGCCGGCCTATCGGGACTTATAGGTGCATATATGTTGAACGACAAAGCCGTTGGGCTGTGTTGTTTGAAATTGCAATCAATAATGAGGTACGTCTCTCAAAAAACCTCTACATAGGTAATAAGTTAGATACCTACAGCGTGCAGTTTTGTATACAGACTATATTTCACGTACATATTCCTACAGTTATAAATATGGTCATGCATAAAAACATGTTTTTTTTGCAGGGGTAATTTCATTGTATTTGATAAGGAACTATGTGTTTATTATTAAACCAAAAATAAAATGGCAGATTTACGTGCATATTGATGATGTAATGTGTTCTCTTGGGTCTCTAACACGAGTTTTTTTTTCTATCTCAGCTGGAATCAGCCTTTATGGGATTACAACTCGACCAAGACTGTTGGCCATTGAACTATGGATCCTTTGTTCTGAGTCCCAAGGGAAAGCTTATGAATGTGGACAGTGGACAATGTGTGGGTTACAAAGGTCCTTCGAAAGAAGCTAAGTTAATCAATTGTACAGAAGCAGAAATCTTTAAAGAGATTGAAGGTAATTCAGCTCGTTGGAAACATGCATATTTGCAAACTACTGGATTTGTTTAATCCTAATAAAGGTCCTATATCCAGCGAATATTTCCCTCATGTCAGGACTTTTTCCTAATATCGGAAGAGCGTTCCAGATGGCCACAGAAGTGCATCTGAAAGCGCGCAATGCAGTGACCGTCTTTGTCATATATGTGTGTGCCTTGCTGTCATTTAACACGGTCCAGACATAAGCAGAAACCCCGGGATGGCAGGATGGAAGTTCTGGAATGAAACTTGGTACCTCCTGCAGCATTCCCACCCCATGTCATGGAGAGAAGCGCACAAAGCTTGCCAGGCATTCCGAAACGCGTCTCTGCTGACCGTACACAGCGTCGACGAGAAGGTAAGCTGACCTGTGATTCGAGGGTTCGTCTGAGACAGGGCTCGGTTCCAGAGCCGCATGCCCGGCTCTTTAAGGAACTGCATTGCGGCTCTTGAAATATGGAGGGTTTTTTTATACCAAATTCGAAACAAATGGCTTTGCTTGTTATTTTGGTTGCCGACCCCCTGGTGTGAGAGGATTAAGCGCGGTATAAGATATGAACGTAAGATAAACCATGTGGTTTTGAGTGTCGTACTTTTGTGTTCCTCTTTGCCAGTTACTTTGGTGTCACGGCCACTTTTAAAAACAAATGCTTTGAGTAATTGGACAACACCCCGAATTTCAATGGTCAGTGCCATGGCAGGGCTTGACTCGAAATCAAGTGTGCAGATTGAGAACATGGTTGGTGATCAGGAATAAAATGGGTATCACTTTAAGGGAAGTCAAGAGTGCTTGTCCTTTTGAGAGACTGGCATTTACCACGGGAATGTGAAATGTCTACATCATGTGCTAATGTACACATAACAGAGCTAGCAGAGCTAAGGTTACTCCAAGTTTGTGGCTTAATTGGCTCAGGTTATCGATTTTTTCATACATTAGCTTGTATTTGGATTTGATAAACCATTCCGGGTCTTAATTGATTGTTCACGCTTACGGTGGCTTTCAGACCGCATCCATTATTTTCGTCTCCCCCCTCCTCTTTTCCGAACATAGATGGACTCGTCCATCTGAATAACTCCCAAATCGCTCTCCGTGGTGCTCACGTAAAAAAAAAACGCAACTTTTTTCAAATGTTCTTGCTGTGGTTTTCACACCTGATGATGATTGCTTGTGTTGCAGTCGAAACGTCGTGAGAATTTTATTGTTTTATATTTTTATTATTTTATTGTTTCCCTTCTACGTGACTTTACCGAAAGAACCAAGAATATTAGCTTGTATTCTTTAATAGCTAGTTTAAATCTGATTGGTTGTCCCTGTGAGGTCGTGACACCTATTTAACAAGTAGGGTAAGGTAACACTGCACTTCTGACTCCCTGGATTGTTATTCTGATGTCCTGTCCTGATGATGTTTGATGAAGTTTCCATGAGATGCAGAAATGTCTCAAATTGCTGCATTTAGTTGTGAGGCGTGTTATCCTTCAACTCACTGGTGTGCTGAAACAGCAATAATTTGAACGTTAAAAGCTTGTATGTACTCGTAATCACATAGCTCTGTCGGAAGATTGAGGGTCTGAACGACACACATTTGTTTAGATCAATACTTGGGCCTAATTCCACAAAATATGAATACCGTGAAAATGTCAGTTATCAATCTTGTATTTGCAGTTTGCAAACAGATAGATTGTTGCATTGAAGGATTGTGAGATGCTAACGGCTGGGGGAGGGCTTCATCCAGCAGTGGGTAGATCATGGCTGCTGATGATTTAGGGGTGTCATAGGTGAACAAAAAAAAACATGGGAAGTGTCCTTCGATGGATAGACTACAGAATATTTAACATATTCAAACTAAACTATTTTTATTTTACCAGGTTAGGTCCACTGAGCTGTATAGCTCTTTTTTAGAAGTGACCTGGCCACAAACGATAGCTCAACGAAGTGGCTCATCACTTGGAAATGTCTAGCAGCCAAATACTCTCATTTTCTAGACATTGCAATACGTGCCTCATATGCAGCATACAAAATTATTATTCGTGTTGTATTAATGTAACACGAATGTTACATTAATGTGACATTGATGTACAAGGGCAATTGCTTGCTGTGGACAACTCACCCTCTCTCTGCTGCCTTGTCTGATGTCCCAAGCTGTGGTTGGACCTTGTTGCCAATGGAGAGTACTGGATCGGCCTCACGGATACAAATAAAGAGTCAGTGTTTGTGTGGCACGATGGAGCCGCCTTGAAACCTGCAATGCGTAGGTAAGTGGAACTCTACGCAGGAAACAGCATTTCAATTAATATTCCATCAATTGTGTTTCTAAAATAATTTTGAGATTGAAAGATGGTTGAATATGCAATGATAGTAAGCTTTGCACGTGTCTAAGGGCTTCAGTAGAAAGTATTTACCCTGGAAAGCCTCACTAAGGTTTATGTTTCAGCAATGGATGCTTTGTCAATTCTATTCATTAGTGTTTTGTGTGTTGGAGAAAGCCATAGTATTTGGATAAAACCCGTGCATACGATGGATAACACTCAAAGCTCTGCACAGGCTATTTTCATCAATTTGCTCTACTGCCATCTCCTGTCCCCCAAACAATCTCGCAGATTTTGGGAATTTGAGTGATCCACCAACTGTCTCCGCCAAAGTGCTGTACTACAGACATGTGCCACCATACAACGAACAGTGGACCTCTTTCCGGAACTATGAGGACTTTAACCTTAGGTTAAAAGCAATTGTGCACTCAATAAGGCCTTTAGAGAAGATGTTGAGACATATAGAATATGATGGGGCGCTGCGATGTCGAAATGTTAACTACCTCGCTTGCTATACAGGAGCTTGTGGTTTCAATACCCGACCCTGTGACGCCTGCTGTATATTTGGAGCTTGCATGTTCTCCCCGTGGTCGCGTGGATTTTTCTGCGGGTCCTCCGGTTTTTCCCTCCACATCTAGAATCAACACGCATCTAGAATATTTGGCTCCCATAACTGTCCACCTGATAAGCCACTTCTGTTGACCTATAATTTGTGGCCAGGTCGTTTCTTAAAATATCTATATATATAGCTCAGCGGGCCTTACCTGATCAAGTAAAACAAAAATAGTGTGGGCGTTCCTACTGTTTGGTCTTGTCCATTGCCCTGTTTTCCCCAGCGTCTTGAATGATGACAGATCAAGGGGAGGACTGCTTGACTGTGTTTACCTCTCCTCAAGCAGCGACTTCTGGAAGGACGACGAGTGTACTAAGAGCAAGGGTTACATTTGTAAAACCACTCCATGTACGTTTAAGAGCAACTAGCTGATGTTGTAGTTTGTTGAAATAACCCTGTAGCTTAGCAATCACGTCATCCGGAGAGTGGCCAGCAGTAATCAGTATCGTGTCATCTGCAAAAAAGATTTACCCTGGAATGATCCAGGTCAGTGCCCAAGTCATTGACATAAAAAGAGAACAAAAGGGGGCCGAGGATGGAACCCTGTGGAACCCCTTTTGTTATCTTAACACTGTTTGACCTCCAACCATCTAAATATGTTTGGCTCAAAACTGGCGCTGGCAAAAATAATACTTAAAAACACGATAATAACAAACTACTACTGCTGCTTCTCCCAATAATAATCAATTACTCTAAATATAAAACTAGTGAAGCAATGCACAGACTCAATGGCAACGTAAAATATTATCACAGTCTAGTATCAATAATGGTGAACGATTGTCCTTTAAAAACATCTTATTTACTTGAAAGCACAACTCAAGCGCAACTCCATATGTATACTGACCACTTGTACCATGTGCCGCCCATTTAACGAATTTGATGCGTGTCCACTCTTGATTACCAAAGCAACGTCGCTGTTCGAGATTCACAAATTGAAAGGATTAAGTGAAAACGAGGCGGTCACGTGCTCTGCTGCCGATACCTTGTTAAACGCCATGGAAACTTGCCTCCGACGTGAAAATTGCACTGGTGTCGTGGAACTGCCCAGAAAATACTGCTTGGCAGAAACGAGCGGCGTCATTGGAGCCAACTCTAAATCCACGCTGTACGTCAAAGCGCGTGAGTAGCGCGCCGGACTTGCCTTCCGTGTGCCATTGGGAGGATCGTCAATGGAAGGGTCGCAAGTTCGAATCCAGTCGGGATTTGACTCGGGTCCACTGTCCCTCCACAGAGTTAATAAAACGGGTGCCGCTTTGTTGGAAAGCTCCCAGTTCTAGATTTGAAGCTTTCGTGACTGCAAGGATCCATACTCTCTGGTTCTATTCGGTAAAGTCACGTAGGTAAAAAATAAAGCAACAAAAATCACGACGTTTCGGCCACAACACAAGTGGCCTTCATCAGGTGAAGGGGACCGTACTGTCAAATGTAGGTGTGAAGTGAAATAAGCTTTTATGAAAGTTTGGTATGTCACTATTTGGATAAATACCATTGAAAATTAGTTTAATGTTTGGTATGTTAATGTTTGGTAAGCTCCCAGTTGTCATCCTGTGGAGCACTGGCTCCCTTCATTGGGATGTCAAATGTACAACACTGGCTGTCAGGGCATTTGACTTAGATGAACTATGAAGAGACTGACTTAGTAATGGCTCGTCCCTTTCATAATTAGAGTTCATTCGAGGCAATTCAGTTCAGTGAGTTTCTGCAAACGATTTTCTCTTTTGAATTATTGATAACCTGAAATCATGGACTGTCTGAAACACAGCAACCACAGTTTGTCTACAAGTGTATAGCTACCTTTTTCAAACATCGGTTGCAGGCAGTTAACAATTAATGCCCCCTTTGACTGGCACATTGTGAACGTTGGGGATGCAAACAGCACTGATCACGGTACATTACTCTAATTCCCACCTCCCAATTTCCCCAAACGAGTCCGGAAAAGTCACGTGGTAATTTTAGAGATTTTTTGTGCATGGTCTACTGTTTATCACGTCGTACCAGAATGTGCCAAATGTCAAAGCGCCCCGTCAAGACGTCCCCGTGCTCAAATCACCATGGGCAGTATTCATGCGGCGTTGGGGGAGGTTCACTTTTGGGTGGTGATAGTTTTACTTGGCCATCATTAATCATAATAATTATTTATACTCGAGGAATCAGATGAGCTATAAAGCTCCTTTTCACAGATTTCCAGTCGGGGTGGGTAAGAACGTTACAAAAACAAACAATACAAAAACATGATTGTAGTGCAAGTACAAGCAAGGTAAAACAATCACCCAACCACATACAAAATAATATTGCTGCATTAAGAATAATGTTTATATGGTGAACCGACAATTAAATTCACCATCTCCAAATGTAAAAAAAAAATTGTAAAGAAGTCCAAGCACACGTGTGAACGGTAAGGAAAATGCAACACAATGGACGGTAAGAACGTTACAACAACAAACAATACAAACGCATGCGAGATGGTAGCAGGTAAACAAATTTCGTGTCCTCTTCTGCAGATTGCAAAATGGGCTTGAGTGGATTTTTTTGTGACTCCGGACAGCCGGTTGTAGAGACCCCCATCACCGTCATCGTGTGCGAGTGTTTGCCTTACTTCATATCGCCTGAGCTGAAGGGTAAGTACCGTACATTGCCACATTTCCACAATATTATATTTTTTTTATGATACTACACACAATTTCACGATTTGGGCGTTTTCCCTTAACTTGGTATTTCACGTCGCTTACTTCACAATTTTGTCCTCTACGAATGTAAATGTCTTAAAAAGTTATTCAGCTGCAGTTTCCGCAACATAAGCCCGCCATACGACTTTATACGTTTTTACACGCTCCATAAAGCTTACAATGCACTTGTCAGATATTGATGACGTCATAGATTTATCCGGAAAAGTTTTACGGATAAATAATATACATGAATAACATACATTAACAATATACATAAATAATTCACAACAATATACGTAAATTATATACGTGAACTGTGTATAAATAATATACATAAATAATACACATGAATTCTGCACATGAGCAAAAAATATAAATAATTTACATAAATTAAATACATAAATTAAATACATGAACAATATACATAAATAACAAAGAGTAATGGCTACTCAGGTTTAGAACTTTGAACTGTTAATGTGAACTTCATTGCTATTTTGCAAGCATTGTATCACGTGACGGAAGATCAACGACTCCCTTGTAGCATTTTCATATTACGGCAGCCCAAGAAAATTGACATGCTGTCTATTGTAACACAAGCTACATGCGGCACGTGTTACTTAACCATGAAGTCCCTTACTAGAATTAACATGCCGTTTTATTCACAACCTTTTATTGTTTGCAGTTTGTGGCAGGACTGCTAAAGAATGCACGCGTGGATGTACGTTAGCCACTTGCGACAACTGTAGACCTGTCTGCAATGGTGAGCACGCTTTGAATGATTAACGTTTACAGTGGCGTGTGCGCAATGCGATTTAATCGGAGTGAATATATTAAATGTGTTACGCTCAATACATTTACAATACTCGACGCGCCTTTGTTGATCCACTTCCGGATGAGGACAGCTGTCCGTGCGGTTGTCGGTCGTGGGAGTTGTTTGGCGATAACTTCTATCACTCTGGACAGCACGGGCGGGTGAATGGTGGGCACCCAGGACCAGTTCAGATGTCACTTGCCACTGACGGTAGCCGTGGCTGGGAATCGAACTCAGGGCGCCGGGTTTCGTAGCGCAGTGGGAAAACCACTGCACCGCCGCTCCGCCTACATGATGCTTGATGGATACACGGAGCACAAATGTTAGACATGCAATGATTAGGCATACATTGACACATTCGTTTATAAATTAAGCTCTCGAAAAATGCACTGAAACCTGCACAGAGGAATAATGGCGTTATTATATATTCAGATTACAATACATTAAATAGTGATTGTACGAATTAATTATTTATAATGTATGCAAGTTCTAAGCATATTACATTTAGGCTAACTCGTAAAAACTGTATAAATGAGCCAGAAAAAATATTAACACAGGCATGAAAATGAGAAAAAGATTGTTTATTTATATAATTGGAAAGCTAAATTCCGACAATTCATCAAATCGCTGGATGGTGATTTGTTACAATGCCTAACATTAATCATTCATAAGTCTTGGGTATGGTGGAGCAATGCCGAATTGGAGTAACTTGCAGGAAAGACAGGTGGGTGGGTTGTGCTGAGAGAGGTAGTCCACATCTCACCCCGGTGGCGAGATGTTAACTACCTTCGCTGGTATGCAGGAGGTAGTGGATTCGGTCCCCACCAGGCTTATACGTGAATAATTCCGTGATAATACTGACGACGTGATTCGTAGCTAATACCTGCCGTGCAACGTGACGTTTCAGATGCTGGGATGAAGAGCACACCTCTGATGCGGCTCATTTGGCACAGAATTGCGAACAGTGAATTCTATGCCTCCAAAAACGGATCACACCCCAAGGAGAGCTCCAGCATCTTTGTGGACGTCCGTGCACCTTGACCTTCTGACAATGCGCCAGCCTCGCCTGCTGTAATCATATCCACCCCGCACCAGATCCCTTGCCGTTATGCTCGCGTCGTTCGTCATCGGGTTGGTCACTTTAAAATCTCAACCTTGTTTCACGACATTCATATTTACCGTGACATATATACATATATATACATACAGTAGTAGCATTGGGGAGCTCTGGCATAGTGGTGAGCACACGTTGCTACGAAGTTGCAAACCTGATTTTGATTTCCGAGGAATGATTGCGTCACCATTGGGTTATATCTCACGTGATCCTCAGCCTCCCTTCGGCAATCCGCACTGACCAGCATGGTGAAGTATGGACCAACAAAAATCCCCTATAACCGACAGCTTGGGGAGGTCTTCATCCAGCAGTTAATTGAGAAATGGCCGGATTTTGTTGCGTGTATGTACGTATGGACTCAATTAAAAAGTCGCTGTCTTCTGGACATAGTGGCCCCTGCCATGGGATCGTAGAATTTACACCACTGGCTTAGGGCCACCAAATGGAGATTTACACGACCCCACACTTGTTTGAGTAAGGAAAGGCTTCTTTTTATTTGTGTAAATATTGTAGAGAGAATGTTGCCGTCCCTTGTTTCGCATTTTCCTTACCGGTCACACATGTGCTTTTGCGTTGCATTTCTTTACCCCCCAAAATTTGACTTTTAAGCCAGAATTCTACATATGGATGCGGTGCACGTGAATCTAATCGTCAGTTCACCATATAAACATTATTCTTGATGCAGCAATATCATTTGTGTGTGTTTGGGTGCTTTTTTACCTTTGTTCTTTGCACTACAATCATGTGAAATCTTGACTTAAAGCTTTCGTGATTGCAAGAATTAATATTCATCTTCTTTGGTTCTTTCGGTAAAGTCACGTAGAATGAGAATAAAATAATCAATTAATTAAAATTAAATAACACAATCAAATTCTCACGACGTTTCGGCCACAACACATTCTACGTGACTTTAACGAAATAACCAAAGAAGATGAATCCTTGCAGTCACGAAAGCTTTAAATCGAAATAGAATTAATATTCTTTGGGTCTTTCACTAAAGTCACATTCATTTTTTGTTCTATGTGACTTTACCGAAAGACTCAAAGAATACAATCATGTTTTTGTACTGTTGTGACGTTCTTACCCGTCCCTAGTGGACATCTGTGGAAAAGAGCTTTATAGCTCATCGGATTCCTCCAATACAAATAAATATTCTGATTCTAATTATCCAGTTTATGTAGTAAATCAGAATCTATATGCAAATTATTACCCTGCCACAGTTTGGCCGACAGTAATCCTTTCCTACTCATCACAATGAGTACAATATGATTGTAACAAAAACATGTACATCAATTCTAACCACGTGGCAACAGGCTATGACAGCATTGGTTACTTTTTACATATTAAACGCTGGAGATTAAAATACTCATCAGCCATGATCAATCCACTGCTGGTGAAGGAGCCCTAAGCCGCGGTTCTGCACCGTACCTGGCACGCGCACAAGATCCACCTAGCACCTTAAATGTTTTTGTTGGGTAGAGCTCGTAAATATAAATGTGTCTTTACTTCACCACCACTATCTCGCTCCCTCCCGGCCCCCCCCACAAAAAATCCCTTTATTATGGAGAAATATTGGTCGCGAAATCTACGTGTTAAACTCGCCTCCCACGTGATGCACAGACGAGCCGATTTTTACTGCTCCATCTCCCTGATTGACGTTCTGTCGGTCACGTCCACCCCTTGCTGGCTGCCTTTTGTGGGCATCGTTAAAATGATAATCGATATTAATGTTCCAGCGCGTTACTGTACTTTCCTAGTGCAATTTACAAAAAAAAGCATTGCAATTTACTCAAAAGGCTAGTTCGTTTAATTCTATATTGATTATTACAGAGCGCCGTACTTTCCATAAGGGGGCAGTCGTAAGCTTGTTGGGGATACCTGCCCTGTATGATTGTGGTGAAAGGAATGAAAGATACTCCATAATACATACTCCATAAGGAATTAAATACTGTCACGTGAAGTTTATATACGTTAGAATAGTGTACGTGCATTTGCATCCTACATGCATACATTGTATATTCTAGCATCCTCGAATTAAATATCCCTGTACGCTTGATTTACGCAAAATAAATCAATCGCATGGCACGTATGCTCCTGATTACAATGTTTTTCGAAGGATATTTAACAATGCAGCGATTGGGCACCGTTACTAAAAACATGTTTTGTTCATCTTCCTACGACTATAGAAATTCTATACACCGTATGTGGTTACGTAAAGTACTGTTTATTATAAGCCAAGGTATATATCAAATTGCGATAGACCGAGCCATTTTCAAACAACATGCTCCCTAATATTTAACGGCAGCGTGAATATATATAAGAATAGGTGTTACCCTTTCTGGCAATAAAACGGGTGTTTAGGATGTTCAAACGCCAAATCGAAACATTTTGCAAGGAATCAAGTCTGCATTAAGGGGCCGTCCATATATGACGTCACGCGATTCTGGACGATTTTTTTACCCCCTCCCCGCGTCACACGGCGTCACAACAAGTCAGACCCGCCCAAATATGACGTCACAAAGCTTTGGCTCTCCCCCCAAAACCATATTTCCATTTTGAAAATAAAACATGCTTCAAATCGATTTAACGCTTTCGTGACTGCAGGGATTCATATGCTTGGTTCTTTCGGTAAAGTCACGTAGAAGCGAAACAATAAAATAATAAAAATATAAAACATTATTTTATTGTTTCTCTTCTACGTGACTTTACCGAAAGAACCAAGAATTTGCTTCAAATCGCTTTAAACTATTGTAGTGAGTATTTAATGTGGCGTTGCACTCCGATGTTGTGGGAGTGTTCTAATAATTTGTGTTATAACAATTCAATATTTTTTAAAGTTGCGCATTTTGATGTGACGCCAATTTTCTCAAACCCACCCCCCCTCGTCACAAAAATCTGACCCCCCCCCCCAGGTGCGTGACGTCATTTATGGACGGCCCCTAACCACACAGCGTACTTGTGAACTTGCAAACAAACATGCTCTGGCAATATTTAGCCTCGTCTTTAGGGCCTCGTCTCAAACAGTCTTAGAGCAGAGAACGCCAAAAGACAGGAAGTGCAATGACAATGCACGCATCAGGGGCACTGATACCTTGGGGTGAGCAGTTGGTGAGCAGCTGGTGAGCAGCTGGTGAGCAGCTGCAACATGTGACCTTTTTTGTGATACCGGCAGAACAATTTTCCTCCCCCCCTCCCCATGTGTTTTTTTTAACCGCAGCGTTTCACCATTCCATCCCGTCTCGCCTTGTTTTGCACAGAGGCAATAACGTTTGACCAAGCGTGATTTAAATTAGCTTTGACTCAACCACGGCATACATCTTCGCCCACCGCCCAAGTATCCCGTCTCCCACGCACCCTGTCAGCAGCCAGATTTCATTACCGCACTGTAATGGTGGCCAGGCCCCCCCCCCGCCCCCCCCCAAAAAAACCTGTGAATTCAAAACAGTGCAGAGGGGGACGCCGAGACACGGTGCTCCGTGACCAGATAAGCCCCTTCAATTTGACGTGTGAAAGACGACCTGAGGTTAATGAAAGGCAGCACCTCGACACAGAAATGTACTTTGTTTTCATTCTCAGAGAAGCGGGTACAACTAATTAAGAAAAAACGGGGAAAACGTCAAACTTGCCAGACACACCACAACACAAGATTTGGATGGGTGGCTCAGAATGGCTGTGTCGGAACATCGAGCCAAATACAGCTGAAAGCCCACGTTCAATCCCCATTACTGGGTGGTCTTCATCTGAGGGGTGGGGGTCTATTAATCTCTCTGTCAAGCCACTGAGCCACCATTGCTGAGACTCCGGAATGCGTTCAGACAGCCACCCGTGATTAAATCCGGCTTCTTTAAATGGAGTGAAGTTGATGGCCTCAGCCAAATCACCATGAACTGCACAAAAAAATCCATCATACACTTGTGCTTAATTTATCTGGGGTGTTCAGTTAAGCTCAGCTGTTGGGGGCCAAAATTAGAGCCGAGATATCCAATTAACGAATGCATGACTTGACTATTGGATTTGATCACTCGACTAAACCGGAAAAATAAAATAATTGAGTGGAAAAGTCGCACCTCTGTTAACACGTGTGCCGTTGGACTGGAGGCGATGGACGAGGCGTCGTGACACCATCATCGGCATAATCCGCTGCGTTAGACTGTGCGTGGATTTGCATGATCACATCCGTTCTTTCCGCTTGTCCTGGCGAGAGTCGCGGCGGCAGCGTGTTGAGTAGTGGCGGTCCACACCTCCCTTTCCACGGCCACAGACTCCAGCACTACATTACTCTACACTATACACTACTATACACTACTATATATTACTACACTACACTATACACTACTACACTATACACTACACTATACACGACTATACACAGCTACACTATACACTAATACACTACACTATACACTACTCCACACTACTATACACAGCTACACTATACACTACTACACTACGCTATACACTACTATATACTACTACACTATACACTACTACACACTACTATACTATACACAACACTACTATACACAGACTCTAGCTCTTCCTGGGGAATTCCCAGCGTGTCCTGGGCCAGCCCCGGGGTCTTCGCCCAGTGTCTTTAAAAAACACTCCCATTCTGCTCTTCCTCAATTCTGTTATTTTTAATTTCACCCCACTCCCAGATATAATTACTCACAATCTTTACAGTTGTATCCCTCCAACAATGACCGCATTTCATTTGTTGAACAAATTTGATGTACGGTCACATGCCTTTTGTTTTGCTAAAATTTTTACTTAAATTCTCTTTGTATTTCTTTATTTATTGTCTCCGGTTCATTGCCATTGCATGCGAGATCGTTAACAATTCAGCGTTATACTCCTCCAATACAATTTCCAGAAGATAAATGTTATCGTCATTGCGAACGGCATTGATGAGAACATGTCTCCCTGACTGACGTCTCTTCTTCTTTATATCGTTTTACTCATACAATCTTACTACAGTTGTCACATATTTATGTAAATAGTTTTGCTAATTGATATATATTTATATTCTTGGTTATTTCGGTAAAGTGACGTAGAAGGGAAACAATAAAATAATACGTGACTTTACCGAAAGAACCAAGAATATGAATCCCTGCAGTCACGAAAGCTTTCAATCAAAATGATATATATTTGTTTAGGCCTCGGTTTTTTTTAACAGCTTGGACAACTAGATCGAGTCCATTGATTATAATGCCTTTTAATAGACTATAAAAGGCAGACAAATGTAATTGATATTAATTCGTAGAGTATTTTGTAGACTATGTTTGAGAGTATTTATTTGATCAAGAGGAGAAACACTTTTTTTTAAACCAGATTGATTGGCTGGCCTCCAGCTATAGTATATAATGTTTAATGTAAAATGTCTCCGACAGCAAAATTGAGATGTATTTGTAGACAAAAACTGCCCCCCCCCCCCCCCCCAGAAAATCTAGTTTTCCTATAGTAACCCAATTTAAAATCTGTCACAAGACCATTTATTGCTGCTAAAAATTACCTTTTTTAAATATATACAGTAGCTGTCAGATAATTCACTTGTAAGCGAACAGTCAATACATAATTTAATGATGGATTAACCAAACTAAAAAAGTGATTATCCTGTTGAATGTACAAAGTTTTTTTTTTTTTAACACAACCGGCGTGGCACAATTGCAATTAAGTGGTGGTGACATCACCACAGAACTTGTACAAGACAATGTGCCCTTTGAGGCCACGTGAACTGTTGAATGCTCGGCTTGTTCAAGGTCACTGGC